CATTTTCTAATTAAAGCTACTCATTCCATAATATACTTATTTGACAAAAAAATCTTATAAAATAATGAAGGCCAATAAATATTTGATAAATTGTTATCTATTATGGCGCAGGACCTCTTGAGGAATTAGATGATAATGACATTGTAAGAGATGATATAATCAGAATTTTTCTCCAATTGAAAAATAAAAAAATAATTGACAGGAAATTGAACAAACTTAAAATTTATGAGGAAAATTTTAATAGCAATAGAACAATTAGAAATTCAAAACAAGCATTTCACTTACTTGATGATTAGATAAATAAAAAGATAATAATAGAAGTAGTTATGGTACAGGAATCGGGTGTAGGATTTTGGATGACAAATTCCAAATTTAGCAGAGAAATTAACTTTTATTAGTCCAAAGATAAAACCAACCAGCAAAAAAAAATTTTTTCCGATTACAGTTCACTCTCTCTATAACGAACCCTCTGCCCCTATATGTAATTTCTCTGCTTTTGGTCGTTATAGAGAAAGAAATTATAAAAAATTGAAACAGGGAAGTTCGTTATAGAGAAATTTTACTTAGTGGTCGTTATAGAGAGAGTGAGCTGTACAACGAATAAATATACTTATTGGAATTAATTTAACTAAAAAGTAATGATTGGAAAATAACACAACTAGTTATTGACCAAATGCAAAGAATAGAAACTCCAGCAGAATCTAGCACTGCAGGTATAATTTGAAACTATACATGCGACCCAAATTGATTTGTGAATGTATTAATATTACGGCATCTGAGTGATAGCCTTAATCAAAAGCCGTAATGGCGTGATTAGGTCGTAATGTCATAATTAGATTGTAATGTCATAATATAGACCAGATATAATCATCAATTAAATGGCCATATAACTACCATTAACCTTTGAACTGCACTCATCAATTAATCGCATGCAATACTCATCAATTAACTTGTATTATGAATTTACTGCCTCTTTCTTGTACCTAGAAAGCTTCGGCAAATCTGTAAGCAATACTTAATTTTATGGTATAATTAACAACAAATAAAATATAGCTTTATTATAAAGCAACAAATGCTTTAGTGAAGTTTCCTGTTTATTTACTTTTCTTTGACTGATTAAATTCAGCAGTACGTTTTCAAAATACTTTAACACAATACAACAAAGTGATATGCGATAACGACTTTGGTTAATAAATGTTAGCATTTTATATCTGGCCGAACAATCTTAACACATTATGTTTACACAAAAAGGTTTACGCTTAGCAAAAACCAAAAATTAAAACTTTGCTTTCTACCAAAGCAAATAATCAAACCCGAGTTTACAAAACCTCAGAATTCCATATAGAGTTTCTATTCGAATAGGGTTTTATTCAATTATTTGTTTTATTAATTACATTGAAAGTTTGTTCGAATAAAACGAATAAGAATTTGTATCACGAATAGAAACTCTAGTTCTACACCACTCTGATAACAAAATGGACAATTAAACTCTAATGTTTGATTTCCGACTACAAAGTGTTTTTATTAAAGAATTAATTCGTGTTACAGAAATGAATGAATTAACAATTTCTGCCTCTGTTCTTATGAGCAAGGCTCTGAAATGTACTAGTTAATAATAGATAGTTCATAGTTCATACTCAAAAGATTATGATGATTTTTATGTTATGTTACGTTCCACTAATTTAACAATTTTATCGTAGTGCCGTCTGCTGCAGCAACTTATCTATGAAGTTTGCGGGGTCCTGTCAAGTTATACATTAATATTAAACTTAATTTTGGTCCGGATCAAACCCTGTCTATGAAGATTGCGGGTCCTGTCAAATATTATATACAAGTACTAATAAATACTAAAGTTGTGCGCAGCAGCTGTCAATACATAAAAATTTACCAAATTAGGAAGTCATACAGCAATCACATAAAAAGATTTACGCAATCTTTCAATCCTTTCAAGAAAACTGGCGTCTTTTTTCACTGAGAAACATGGCTAGTTTGTCTTCAAATAAACAATCACCATCATTTAAGACCAAACAGACAAAAACGTAATTGGACATGGACTTATTTCAAAAGTGATCACAACGATCAAGAAGAACCAGTAAGTGTTAAATGAAGCTGGTAAAGAATGTGATACTGTTTTTTGCTGATGGTAGCTCTATTGGAAATCAATAAATCACAACTTGAAACAATTCATCCTTCAATTAAATAATTAATATATTAATATTATCCAATAATATTTGCTATTGAAAAACCTTTTAATATTAACGGCTCATAATGATAAATAAATAATAGCATAAAATCCTGAAACGAATCTTTAACATTTCTTTCTAACTCATAGTATGTATGGTACGTTAGTATATTATATTCGTTCAATTTTATTTTTATTCCATAAAGGTTTTTTTTAAAAAGTTTGTACTCGCACATCCATAGTATTTATTAATTCATCTCGTAATTGGGCTTTTTTTTTAAAAAAATGTTTTTTTTTAGACAAAAATCTTTATCATTGGTGTCTGGCTTCAAAAGTTTATTTGAGCTTAAACCGTTAAATTCCGATAGATGATATTGAATATTTAAAGGATTCATTTATCTGTAAAAAAAATTTCATCATTATAAATTTTTATAAATACCGACTCTTCCTTAATTCTTTTTTTTTATAAACAACGACTCTTCCTTGATTCTTTTTTTATAAATATCCTTCATACAATTTGAAAAGGCCAAGAAAATTTTCTCATAAGAAAAAAATTGAAAACTGACAAGAATTAACTGAACAATCAATCAAAATGAAATTCAATATTTTCCTCCTATTCTTGATCATCTTTGCTGTTGTTGCTTTAGCAATACCATTTGATCATAGTTTGAAGAAACGTGAGTATTTCATTATGATGTGCTGTAACGGACTTACTAATTTGTCCATCACCAAATTCCCATTTTATTTTTTGATAATTATTAATTGGATACAATCAATATATCATTTATTACAATAAATATCATTTCTTTTTAAAAAAACATATATTAATTGTTGATTTTCATTTTATTTTATTTTAAATCATAATAGGGGAGTAAGTATTTTCATCATTACTATTACTACAGTCAATATCATTGTTTTTAAAAAATTATTAACTGTTGATTTCATTTTATTTTCAATAACAAATAGCTGGTAAGTATTTTCATCATAATTACTATTACTACAGTCAATATCTTTGTTTTTGGAAAATATTAACTGTTGATTTTCATTTTTATTTTAAATAATAAATAGCGAGTAAGTATTTTCATCATCATTACTATTACTACAGTCAATATCATTGTTTTGAAAATATTAATTAACTGTTAATTTTCATTTTATTTAAATAATAAATAGTCCGTAAGTGTTTTCATAATTATTATTACTACAATCAATATCATTGTTTTTTGAAAGATATTAACTGTTGATTTTCATTTATTTTAAATAATTAAATAGAGAGTAAGTATTTCATTATCATTATTATTATTGCATCCAATATCATTGTTTTTGAAAAATATTAACTATTGATTTTTGTTTTATTTTAAATAATAAATAGTCCGTAAGTATTTTCATCATTACTATTACTACAGTCAATATCATTGTTTTTGAAAAATATTAACTGTTGATTTTTGTTTTATTTTAAATAATAAAATAGTCAGTAAGTATTTTCATCATCATTATTATTATTGCAGCCAATATCATTTTTTAAAAAAATATTAACTGTTGATTTTTGTTTTATTTTAAATAATAAATAGTTCGTAAGTATTTCATCATCATTATTATTACTACAGTCAATATCAAATTTTTTGAAAAATATTAATTGTTGATTTTCGTTTTATCCTAAATAATAAACATAGGATGTAAGTATTTTCATCATTATTATTACTACAGTCAATATCATTGTTTTTGAAAACATATTAACTGTTGATTTTTGTTTTATTTTAAATAATAAATAGTGAGTAAGTATTTTCATCATCATTACTATTACTACAGTCAATATCATTGTTTTTGAAAACATATTAACTGTTGATTTTCATTTATTTTAAATAATAAATAGTCCGTAAGTATTTTCATCATCATTATATCACTATAGTCAATATCATTGTTTTTGAAAAATATTAACTGTTGATTTTCATTTTATTTTAAATATTTAATAGTTGGTAAGTATTTTCACCATCATTACTGTTTTCAATATACTTGGGTTCATAAAACTGTTTTTCTGTGAATCTCTCTAAAACTAATTAACTAACACTAGACAAGACCTACAAAACTTGGAAAGCAAGTTTTGTAAAATATACTTGATGAATGTTTTATCTAGTTGTGTGATAGGCGGGTTGATTATGATACTTATTTGAAAATGCCATACAAGTATTTAAAATTCAAAAAAACGCAATAGTTCTTTACCTATTACCATATATTTTTGTATCTCACTAAATACTTGATCGAATTGAGTGATCTTAGATTCAAAAGAAAGCCTTAATCGTATTGTACATCGTATTCGAAACTTATTTATAGTAAATATGAAACAATGTGACTTAATATTGATTTCAAATCACAATTCGTTAATGCATTTTAATAATAATATTAAATATCTCTTTACAATTCTCTTCTCTTTTTTGACAATTTGCACATTATTGTTGCTTGCTCATAGAGGTTGGCACTAAGGTTGCTTGCCGAAACCTCTTTGTGACTGTCAAAACTCTGGCGAAACTCTAATGAACAATTAGTATATATCTTGTCAAAACCCTGACGATTGACCAAACCTCCAAATGCAAAACTCTAATAAACAATTAATGTATAACCTGACGAAACTCTGTCAACTGATTTCTGGAGGAATTTCACCCACAACCTTAAAATTAAAAGTTAACTGATTAACCAGTTAGAAATGGTTAATATTAACTTTATAATTTAGTCACGTGAAATTTTTAACTGATAAATTCAATCGTTTGTTATTTATAGTTAAGAATATTTGAACCCATTAAGAATCCGGGTAATCCATTCAATTATGATGATCAGTGCAGGCCTCTACATCACATCATAACTGGAACAACATATATTATTTATTATTTTTAGATACGTTCTAAAAGGCATATAGAAGACAAAATGTATATAGATACTTTTTAAATAATATTTTTTGTTTAATTTATGTTGTTCTTATGCAATATAAATATTAAAAAAACATTGCTTATTAATCTAATGATAAAATAATAAATATAAATAATGAAGTAAAGGAATATGAAAGTAAAAAAGAATATAATCTATATTACCAAAAATTTATAAGAGAATTTACTATTTAAAATAAAATGAAAATCAACAGTTGATATTTTTCAAAACAATGAAATGATATTGACTGTAGTAATAATAATGATGAAAATACTCACATGCTATTTCAGTATTTATTATTTAAAGTAATAATGATGAAAATATTTATTGGCTATTTATTATTTAAAATAAAATGAAAATCGACAGTTAATATTTTTCAAAAATAATTATATTGACTGTAGTAATAATAATGATGATGAAAATACTTACGGACTATTTATTATTTAAAATAAAATGAAAATAAACAATTAATATTTTTCAAAAACAATGATATTGATTGTAGTAATAATAATAATGATGAAAATACTTACTTGCTATTATTTGAAATAAAATGAAAATCAACAGTTAATATTTTTCAAAAACAATGATATTGACTGCAATAATAATATTGATGATGAAAATACTTACGGGCTACTTATTATTAAATAAAATGAAAATTAACAGTTAATTAATATTTTCAAAAACAATGATATTGGCTGCAATAAATAATGATGATGAAAATACTTACGGACTATTTATTATTTAAAATAAAATGAAAATCAACAGTTAATATTTTCAAAACAATGATATTGATTGTAGTAATAATAATGATGAAAACACTTACGGACTATTTATTATTTAAATAAAATAAAAATTAACAGTTAATTAATATTTTCAAAAACAATGATATTGACTGTAGTAATAGTAATGATGATGAAAATACTTACAGACTATTTATTATTTAAAATAAAACAAAAATCAATAGTTAATATTTTTAAAAAAAAATGATATTGGCTGCAATAATAATAATGATGATGAAAATACTTACTGACTATTTTGTTATTTAAAATAAAATGAAAATTAACAGTTAATATCTTTCAAAAACAATGATATTGACTGTAGTAATAGTAATGATGAAAATACTTACGGACTATTTATTATTTAAAATAAAA